CACACACACACACACACACACACACACACACACACACACACACACACCATTCCCTGATTGGGCATCACTGGGTATCATGGAGTGAGGTGAAGGTTGGGAGGGTGTTTGCATCCTTTCTGTACCTTGCTCTCCTTCCCAGCCTCTAGGTGCTCCTCCATCACTCTCGTTCTCGACTACAGCACACAAGAATTCCGCGGCGGGTTACTGCCCGCGTGCTCCCGTAGGTTGGTCCCCGGTAAATCGCCCCGAGGAACGGACCCAGTGGGGATCCTATCACCTGACAGAGGCACTCTCCCCTCCCTACCAAGGAGTCACCTGGAGCCGGGCGTGGTTCCACGCCGTTCCCTCGCAGCCGCGCCTTTTGATTGGGTAGCAGGTTTACCGTGCGGGACGCCATTGGCTGCAACGCCTGTCGTTCCTGTGCCTGGGCCCCAGCTTTTAAGGGGCAGCGCGGAACTGAGAGGGCCGGGAACAGCCCACAGCTTGGAGAATGGAGTCGGGGGCCGGCGGGGGGCTCTAGGATCGCAGAGGTCTATTGTCGCGTCAGCCCACGCCCCAGGCTGGCTGACTCCCGCCCGCCGCCCCTCTGGGCCGCGCCTTCTAACGGCCTGGCGCGGCCTGCGCGTGCGCACTACCCTAGTCTCGCGCCCTCCAGGCGGTGGGCGGGGCGGCAGGCCAGAGGGCTGGGTGGAAGGGTGGGGTGGGTGAGGGGAAGGGGGAGCTGGTTTGGAGGGGCGGACTAGGGACGAGGACAAGGGCTAATGTCTTTGGAGAAAGGGGTTCCGTTTGGACGTCCGCTCTGGGACATGAGGGAGTGGCTGGGTAAGCCGCAACGGGCGGCGAGGGGGCGCGACAGGGCCCGCGGCCAGGGCGCCCGAGGCCAGGCGCGGACCCTCGGGCGGTCGCAACTGGAGCCTGGAAGCAGAGGGGCGCAGACGATGCGAGAAAAATTGTGGATGCCCTGGAACGGGCTCTTCGTGATCGGGAAGAGAATGGAGCTCCTGGGTAGAAACACGCAAAAGCCTAGGATGTGGGACCCGAAGCTTGAGTCTGAGGACCGGAGACTGGAAGATGTGGAAAAGGCAGTCTTGAGAGGAAAGTCAGGCCGGAGTCAGGGAAGGATGGATGTGAAACGAGTGCGCAGTGTAGCAAGTGCATTACAGGCTTCCGCGGGTTTGCGGAAAGACAACTCCAAGGAGGTGTGGGGAAAGCAAGAAGTCAGACACGAAATAGGGGCTGAATCTGAGAATGCAGGGACTACAGCGGGGTCTAGGGGGGGACCTGGGTTTAAAGAGAGGTTGAAGTTTACTGGAGTGGGAACCAGTGGAGAGGACTCGAGATCCAGAGAATACGAACTAGGGCAGAATGCGGAGGCGCTGAGGTCAAGTGGAGAGAAGCTGCGGTCAGGTGGAGAGAAGCTGAGGTCGAGTGGAGAGAAGCTGAGGTTGAGCAGAGAGAAGCTGGTGTTCAGCGGGGAAAGGCGGGGATCCAGGGGAGAGAAGCTGGGGACTAGTGGAGAGAAATTGGACGGTTCAAGAATGGGGAGCATAAATGAAGAGAAAATTGAAAGAGTGAAAGTTACTGGTGATGAAAGATTGATAGAAATTACTGATGCTGAGATGGACATTCATTTTGAAAAGGTAGAGGAGAACCATGAAGAGATTGAGGAAGGGGTGGGGGTTGAGGAGGATGTCTTGGATGAAGTGAATGATAATACTGATGAATCCATTTCTATGGAAGAGAAAGATTATAGACAAAGGTACCAGTGAATGAGGCAGATGAAGGATTTAAGGTAAAGAAGGAAAGAAGCAGGTAGGGGAAGTATTGCAAGTCAGAGAGGAGAAATTAGAGACAAGCAGAACATTACTGACCCTGAAGGGGTAAATATGAGAGGGAAAGGAGAGCATCTTTGCCTAAGAGAAGAGAGAGTGGGAATGAAGAGCTCCTGGGGATGAAGGCGGAGACCAGGACCAAAGGAAGTGAAGAAGAGTGATAAAGAGGGAAATGGAACATTTTGAGAAGAAAGAGAAGATTCGTTAATGTGTTGATAGGTAGAGGAAGAGTGGACATTGGTTTCTTGGAAAAGAACTGTGACTGAGGAGCTTATAGAGAAATGTTTGAGAAATGGATTTAGGTTAGGCTAGAAGGATTTAGCTTAACACATGATTGGGTTTATGAGATGTAGGAGAATGCACAGTGAGAAAAATGGAAAGGTACAGCAGGGTAAGGATAGGTCATGGAGGTTGTGGACAGAGATGCAGGCTGGAGTGCAGTTTCTGAGAGAGGATCCTAAAGAATAATGAAGGGCTGCAAAGTGACAAAGGCAAGAGCAGAGATAAGAAAATAAAGAAGTGAAGAAAAAAGTAAGAAGCCAAATCCCATAATAGTGATTATGTTTGTTCGATTTTAAAGTTATTTCCTTTACTATTTCTGTACCCTCCTCTCCCATGTAGCCAATTTTACAGTTTAATGGGACAGGCCTCTCGCAGGGCCCTGTATATCTGGACTGAGCCCAGCCTCCCTGATCTTCCCTCTACCTAGCCCCCAGATTGTATCCAGAATAATTGCTGGGCTCCACTAGTTTTTTTTATATATACAAATTTATTTATTTATTTTTTTGGCTGCCTTGGGTCTTCGTTGCTGCGCGCGGGCTTTCTCTAGTTACAGCGAGTGGAGGCTACTGTTCGATGCGGTGCATGGGTTTCTCATTGCAGTGGCTTCTCTTGTTGCAGAGCACGGGCTCTAGGCTCATGAGCTTCAGTAGTTGTGGCATGCAGGCTCAGTAGTTGCGGCTTACGGACTCTAGAGCTCAGGCTCAGTAGCTGTGGCGCATGGGCTTGGTTGCTCCATGGCATGTGGGATCTTTCTGGGCCAGGGATTGAACCCATGTCCCCTGCATTGACAGGCGGATTCTTAACCATTACGCCACCAGGGAATTCCCGGGCTCTACTATTTTTTAAAAAATATTTATTTATTTATTTATTTATTTGACTGCATCGGGTCTTAGTTGTGGCATGCAGGGATCTTCGTTGCAGCACGTGGGCTCTCTAGTTATGGTACGCAGACTCTAGAGCATGTGGGCTCAGTAGTTGAGGCGTGTGGGCTTAGTTGCCCTGTGGCATGTAGGATCTTAGTTCCCCGACCAGGGATCAAACCCGCTTCTGGGTTTCTTAACCACTGGACCAGCAGGGAAGTCCCTGGGCTCCACCTTTTTAATCACTTCACCATGATCACCATTTCCACAAGTTCCCCTTACCTCCACATCAACTTTGAATTTGAAGTGGTCTCAATTATTTTGTATTATTATTATTATTTCCATCTTTGACTTTTAATGATGCATCTAATCACATGGACTTTTCCCCTTGTGTCTGTCTCCTTTGGGGCTTTCTTTGATGTCTTCCACATGTCATCCACCATCCATCGTCACCCCAGGGAAGAGAGAAGATTCTCTGAGTATCTAGTGTCAAGGCATCAATATCAAGACTCTTGGGTAGGGATCTAAGAGGTGGCAAAAAGCAGTCATGGATACTTAGGATGAAAGGAATACGTCACCCTTTCTCCTCCACATACTTTTTAAAGTCTATACAATTTCTAAGGGGTAGAAACTTCATCATATCATAAGTCTCATAACACAAATTTATAATAGCCTCATGTTTTTTAATTGTTAAGTTTTCTACACACCCCTACCTAATTTTCCCATCTCCAAAAGTGCTGTTAAACTCTGTGCCATAATTTTGTTCGTATAGGTCAAATCTAACAGATAATCTATCAATTCCTTTTTTTTTTTTTTTTTCCTGGAAATTTCCTTCTTGGAGTCCTTTGTCCTCTGGGTCTGGTGTAGGGTGGCTCGTTCTAGGCTTGTTCCAGAGCTGCTTTCCTGAGCTTCTCAACCCTTCTCTCTGTTTTTCTGTGTTGGTTCTCCTACTGCATGGATCTTAGATCTTCTTCCCCTTTTTTGTTTCACAGCCTCATTTTGGTCAACCACATCATCTAATAGCTTCCAAAGAAAGTAACCACGGGAGGTAAACTTTGTAACACCTTATCTATCTGAAAATATTGACTCTTCTCTCATATTTGACTGATAGTTTAACTGGGTGTGCGATTCTAGGTTGGCAATGTTTTTCCCTTAGAATTTCACAGGCACGCTCTTCTAACTTCCAAGTGCTGCTGTTTAAAAGTACAGTTTTGTTCTTCTTCTTTTTTAAACTCTGGATGTGATCTGTTTTCCTTTCATATGTAAATTACCTGTTTTCTACCACGCCACGGCCCATCCTGCACTCTCACCCCATGTTCTGTGATTTTCAGGGTGTGGGAGCCTGCATTATACTCATTTTTTTTTCTACTTATGTCACCCTCTTTTTCTTCTACTCTCTGGATAGAAAATGTTATTAACTTTGTCTTATCCTTTCTATTGGATTTTTAATTTTAACTCTCTTGTTCACTGATTGCTTCTTATTTTACATATAGCATTTCTGTTTTTGTTTCATGTACATGTGCTCTTAGCTCTCTGAGGAATTTTCCTGGTTTTAAGTTTTCTTCTGGTTTTCACATTGTTTGCTCTGAATTCCCTTCGACCCTTTCTGGTGTGTGTGTGTGTGTGTGTGTGTGTGTGTGTGTGTGTGTGTGTGTG